TATCGTTGAATAATATATATATATAGTCATTGAGTAGATTAAATTTGAGACTTTTACTGAATTCACATTCTATAATTGAGTGAATTCTACAAATGCGCAGCCGGCGCTTAAATAAATAGTTTTTAATAATTTTAAATGTATATTTCACATATAAATATAAGTAATAGATATTATTAAACATAGGAAAACCCACAAGCTAAAAAAAAACTAAAAAACCTAACAAGTCAAAAACTGCACATGTATTAACTTGTTTGAGGCTTTGACTCAGTCCTCGGAAGCAAATATAATAAATAAATAAATAAATAAATAAATAAATAAATACAACCTCATTTTTATTATCTCCAAGTTCGAAATGTAATGATAACTAACCTTCTTTTTTGGTGAGCACCCTTCACTTCCAACTAATAGGTTATGAGTTCGAATCACCCCAAGAGCAAAATAGGGAGTTCTTGGAGAAAGGGAATAAAAAAAAAGAATCAAAAAAAAAAAAAACCTTCTTCATTTCTTCTATCCTTATTTTAGCATTTAAGTTCAAAACCACGTTAATCAAATCACTAGTGGTCTTTATTTTATCGTGACAGTGTTTGAATTCGAGAGCCATACGAACTATTCTTTGATAGCATTTTTCGCACGCATTTTAAATATTTTAAATTATTAATAATAGTGACTTATAATACTTTTTACATGATTTTCAAATATATAAATTTTATTTCGAAAAATTAAAAGATTCTCTGTTCAGAAGCACAGTCAAAATTAAAAAGTTTGAATCTCAATAAGTAAAAAATATCACACAAATTAGGTTAGGGGAAGTAATGATTTTGAATTACGAAGTAATATTAAACACGCGTTTACCTTACAATATAGGATTATATATGTATTTACATGTATGAATATGTGTGTACACACGTACACTTGCATGCTACATGCATTTATGCATCTACATTTTAGTTGACAAAGGCGACTCTAGGCTAAACTAACACAGTAGTATTAATGATAGTATTAGAAGATAGAGGGACTAGAGAGGAACCATGCCTTTCACCTAAGTCCTCAAAAATCAATTCCCATCAATTTCTCTTCAAACAAATATACAAATACACCACTCTTAAGTCTTCACTTAATTCCACACACACCACATCCCCTCCTTTACCTCCTCCCCCCCTCTCTAGTATTTGGTCTTCCTTCTTTCCCTTTTTATTGCCGAGTCCATTGCTGTATTCAAAGCCTATCTCTTTTTCTGTTTCCTTTGTAATTCATATATGGCCAATGGTAGTGGACTCTTCTTTGATCCAGATCCCACAACACTCTTTCTTGAATACCCCTCATCAAAAGACCACCATTTTTTCTACAAATTACTCAAGCTTGAACCTTTTTTATCATCCAATAATATTATGGATTCCCTAACCAAGAACATGTCATCATCACCTCCCACTACTATTCAATTCCCAGTGAATCTTATTAATGATCATGACCAAAAAAGACCAATTCTTGATGAGATGGACTTCTTTGCTGCTAAAGAAGATGTCAATTGTAAGGACACCGACGAAAGAAAAGAATTCAACAAACCTCTTGAATTAGATTTCAACATAAATGTAAGCTACCTTTATCAAGTTTATTCTTTTTCATCAGTTTCGCTTAGTTTGTATAAGTGAATTCTAATCCAATTCTCTCATTTTGTAGACTGGTTTGCAACTTCTCACTGCAAACACTAGTAGTGATCAGTCCATAGTGGAAGATGGTTTATCCCCAGCTTCTTCTGAAGATAGAAGAACAAAAACTGAGGTAAGAATTAGATCTTTAACATAGTAGTAATCAGTCTACTAGTTTTTTTCTTCTTTTAGTTATGTTAAAGGCATAATTAAGTAAATAAAAGTATTCTGTTTTGGACGAAGTGAAGCCTTGGCGTAACTTATAAAATTGCTGCCATGTGACTATGAGGTTACGGGTTTGAACCTCAGAAACAGTCTCTTGCAAAAATGCAGGGTAAGGCTGCGTACAATAGATCCTTGTGGTCTGGTCCTTCCCTGGACCCTGTGCATAGCGGGAGCGCACTGGCCTGCTCTATCCTCCTTCGAACAACTTGACCTTTTAAATGAGATATATAGTCATACAATTCAAGATGTTGACATTTTTGCAATTATATGGTATAGTTAGCAGTTCTTCAGGCTGAGTTGGAGAGAATAAACGGTGAAAATCGACATTTAAGGGACATGTTAAATCAGGTAACAACAAATTGTAGTACTCTACAGATGCAATTGACAATGATTAAACAGAAACAACAACATGATCATGTTGAGCAAGATGACAAAGGGGATGAAATCAAGCAGCAATACCAAAGTAGTCAAATGAGACCTAGGCAGTTTATGGATCTTGGCCGCCTAGCAAATGAGGCATCGTTGTCTTCGTCCGAGGGGAGAAGAAGCTGGGAACAGTCACGATCACCACCGATGAATATCGTTGAGTCTGGTTCCAGTGATAGAGAGGATAGTCCTGAAAAAGGTTTATCTTGTTGGGGTCCTAATAAGGTTCCTAGAGTAGCAGGCAATGAGTCCAAGAGTAGTACTACTGTTGATCAAGCCACTGAGGCTACCATAAGGAAGGCTCGTGTATCTGTTAGGGCTCGATCCGAAGCTCCCATGGTATGAATCTGGATTCATTTATTGATGCTATTCCATTTACTATTAGTTTGTTAAAAAAGGATCGACTTTTTTTTAATATTTGAACCAAACAATTTTGATTGAACCGCTGACTAAAGAGCCTAACGTTTTTCTTTATTTCTTAAACTCTATGTTCAGTTAAATTAATCTAGATAAAAAAATTTCAATCAAAATTAGTTTGCTTTAATATTTAGTTTTCAAAGTCAATTGACTAGCGCTCAATCTTAAACCACTTAGATCAATTGTAAGAATCATTTATATTCGTTGCTTTAGTATTTCATCAGTTTAAACTTTGGTACGTAGAATAAATGGATGCCTTTTCTTTTTTGGTGCACTTATATAGATCACAGATGGTTGCCAATGGCGGAAGTATGGGCAAAAAATGGCGAAGGGAAACCCGTGTCCACGGGCTTATTATCGCTGCACCATGGCAGCTGGCTGTCCAGTTAGGAAGCAAGTATGTCTTTTTTTTTTTTTTTTTTTAAA